TCCTCCCCAGTCCCCCCCTGGCTTCCCACATAGGAGCTAAATCAATGTCTGAAGTTGCCTATTACAGATAAGTTCAGGCACTCGATACTTATTTACAGGCTTTTCATAGTGTATGCAGTAGTTATTGTGTTTGTGCGGGTTCTTTTGTTTTGTTTTTTTCCCCTGATCCTTTACTAGAAATGAAGTAACATCTTTGTGCGGGGTAGGTGTGTGGCAGCTTCGCCGCCCCGCGGGCGAGCTCAGCGTTTATCAGTGGAGGTTTAAAACAAAGTAAGCGGTAGGAGACCCAGGAGCCAACGTGAGTGAGAATGAGCAGTGCGTGTGAGCTGGGCATCGTCCCAAGCCCTCAGCTCGTGGCCGAGGCTGGCGGCGGGGCCCGGGAAGACCAGCGCTCGGCGGCTGTTTAGTCTGCGGCGGGGCGGGCGGACGGGAGCCGTGGGCACGCGCAGGGCTCTTGCTGCGGTTGGGTGGAGGTCCGAAGTTCCTAAGGATGAAAGAGCACAAGTCTGGGGCTCGGGTTAGCCCTCACGTGGAGCTGATTCTGCCTACAGGTCTCCCAAGGAAGGGAATTTCTACTAACTCTTGGACTTCTGGTTTGAATCCGCAGTGCTCTGGAAAAAACAATTTTTTGTGGAAACTGTTCTGTTTGAGCTGCTTCTGAAGTCTGAAATACTTGTTTCCATCTGAGATATAACTGATTGACATATATAAGCATCAACTGAGATGTGTATTAACACTTTTGAATGTTTCTCTTGCTATTAGTTTGCAAAAGTCTAAAATGTTTAGTGATTGTGTTCGTTTTCTATGTATGCAAATCTTTTTATAATTTGGTGGAGGTTTTCAGCTTCTATCCTGTCCAGTAGTGTCAATGTGCCCATGCGTGTGTTGTGGGGAACTGTAGCCAAGGGTGAATTGGATAAAGAACAGTGATACTAGCATGCCGCTCCTGGGTATAGGCCAGGGAAGATGTGACTAAAAACAGAGTGTTCCATGGAGAGAACTATGGGCTTCTATTCCTCTTTTTTTTTTTTTTTTTAGTCTTCCCCTCTTTATTTCCCTTTCTCTTAACCTTTCCAGCAGTGCCAGAGTTTGGCTTTGGTGCTGATTTGTCTCAAAGGGCAGTGCAGCTCTAAGCAGCTCTCATTGTGCGTCCCTTGTGAGGCTCCCCATCCGCGGGCCGCGCTGCCCGTGTGCCCGGTGCGGTCTGAGGTTTCCAGGCTAGAGTTACACCGAGATAGGCCGCGACAGCAAAGGCAACAGGCTCCCTTTGTGTTATTTCAGCAAGTGAGAAAACAGCTGGGTCTGTGCAGGGTTTTACAGCGTTCCCAAACTGTCTGGAAGAATGGAGTGTCAGTGAACACAGGGTAGGAGGGGATATTCAAGGGGTGGCCCTGATGTTTTCGGTATTTAACTTCTCAAGGAGAGAAGTATGTGTGCCTGGAGGGATTTAGGACAGTGAGTATCTGTGACATTTGGGTAAAATGACAAACATAAAATGACTATGAAAATCAACTGGAATTTCAAAGCAGCTGAAGTATGACCATCTGGGACAGCCGAGTGAAAGGGGGCATGCCCAAAATGTTTAAGTGAGGCATGTCCACTGAGCCTGGCGTGAAGCAAGAATGCAGAGAAATACGGCCACTGCTGTAAATCTCAGTGTTTCCTCTCTTTAGAAAGAAGTGCCAATTCTTTGCACCAAGGAACCAAAACAGAATGCTAATATAATAAAAACAAATTTAAAAGCGTTTTCGATTAGCATGCTGGTCTGTTCCCTTGTGCTTAGAGCCCTTTTGTAAGGAACAGAAACATTTCCATAGTTGAATATACATAAGGTGCTGGAAATGCAGAAAGAATAACAACCAGTTGCTTCTGGAAAACTTGCAAATCTCTGAGCATTGTATGGCTGTCAGATGTCTCACTCTTTGGAGATAATAGAGATTCTTGCAAATAGACTTATTTCAAAGAAACAAAATAAAGTGAAATATCAGCATGTGCCATTTTGAGAATTGTGATTTAATCTTTAAACAATGAAATGCTGATGTGGAGGCTGCATGATTACTACTTATTTTTCCAGGTAACATCACTGTACAGACTTTAGCATGCATTACACTACATCAAATTCGTTTTCATAATGTGCTTTTGAGATGCTGTGCACTTTTGAATTATGTTTCATAGCCTGCTCTCTCTCCTCATCATCTTCAGCAGCCTGGAAGGCGTTATTGACATTCCCATGGTGGTGCTGTGACAGACCTAAGTCAAAGAATTTAAATCATATCAAAACTGAGTTGTGAATGCATGAAACTAGTGCTCTTCTGAGAAGAGAGGGTAGTGAAATAGAGGCCCTGTTAAACCACCTCTTCTAATGGGATGAGAATGAAGATTCTTCCTGGCTTCTCTTTTCCCCTTAAGGGAAGCAAGATGAAGCAGGAGTGCTTTTTTTCCTGACTCAACTCTTCATCTGCTTAAGAAAAGTTGTATCAGCAGTGCAGAACAACTTCACCGCTCTGTTTAGGTTGCTGTTCATGGGGATAACACCTTTCCTCTTGCTAAGGTGTGCAAGTCTTTTCCTGGTAGTAGAACAAATATGAGAACAAAATATGGGGCTGTGGTCAGGGGGAGAAGGTGCTCAGTCCTGTTACTGGCATCGATGACATCCTTGGAGCTGTCTCCTTGGATAGCACTCGAGAAGGTTGTGAGCAAGAAAAACTTGAGCCCTTGTAAAGTGTGAGTGTCTGTGGTGGGCTACCCTTTTCTCAGTAGAAGTAATACGGAAAAGAAAAGGTAGAGTTTCCAGATTGGCTCAGTCCCTGGTGTTTTAACAAACTAACTCACACCTTTAGCTCTTCATGTACAATTTACAACATTAATGTTGTTTAACATGCCTGGCTGCACAAGCATTCCTTGGCCACAGGGGATGCACAGGGGAAAGGTGCCTGTTCCTCCTGATGTTGCCCGAAAGCTGGCAAAGGTGGATAAGGCAAGACCTGTCTTCGCAAAAGGCTGCCTTGTTGATAAGGTTGTCACCAAGTCCCTAGAAAAGGGTTTCAACTAATGAGGGAATAATTGGAGACTGAAAGGACAAGAACAAAATGAGTTTTCTACAGCCTACCTAATGTGTAGTTTCTATTGCTTCAGAAATAGGCATCTCCTCCAAAGCGCCCTTTAAGGTAGTGCTCTGTAATACAGGTCACTTACGAGTTGGTAAGATGCCAGTAGCTAAGGCTCAAAAATCTGCAGTTATTCACAATCTTTTGTTTTGGTTTGCTGGTCTTGAGACTAGCAAATGGCTAGTGTGTGTGGGCATGCTGATTTTTAGTTTTTGCGAGTGAGACAGTTCATTCTTTGTTCTCGGTGTGCCTTGACTCACCTGTGATGTCTCAGCTTCTGTGTGGGATGGCTTTCATACTGTCTAGGGTTTTTTCTTTTTTTTTTTTTTTCTTTTGTATCTAGATTTAAAGAAACGTGAGGTTCTTTGTTTTTAATTGCGGCTTTACCTCTTACTTCCTAAAGGAACAAGCACTCAGGACAAAATGAGCAAAACCATTATACAGGCAACTTCAGTAAAAACTTGGGTTGATATTGCATTGTTTCTGTGTCTTGCCCTGTAGACTGTTTGTCTTTTGTCTGTCTTGATTTACCACATCTGGATTCTGGTCAGTAATCTGAGGGTACATCCACATCCAGTGCTGATCACCTTACAGACATTTAACTTGTCTTTGTATGATGTGCTTCAGAGAGGAGTGATTAACTTTTGTCTTATTTGGACTTAAAAGGTTGTCTGCTAGAATTCATTTAGATGATAGTTACTTGTTTTGTGTGAAAGTGTTCATGAGTTAATTCAGAAAGTTTCAGTTTCAGCTACTTATTGCCCTTAAGTTACTATATTTAGAATTTCTGCATAAAGAAACTAACCTGCTCTTAAACCGGCGTGTGGAAGGGCTTCTTGCAGTAGAAATACTAATAACTGCTTCAAGCAGTCCTCAGGCTTTGGCTGGACCTCTCCTCGCTGTGCAGCTCACAAAACCAGCAGTAATATGATACGTATGCAAGTTGCAGATCAGCAATTTTATACACTGGTGCTGGGGGTATCCATAAATTATTTATTTTCTGAGACTCTATTATTGGAGCTTACTTGCAAATGAGGATACTGAATATCCTGGTACTGCTGATGCATGGCACCTGGTGCTCGCCAAAGCTGGAGACAGAATGGGAAGGGGGAGAGTTGCAAGGATATAGTCAGTATTTATTTTGGTGCCCCCTTCTTATGCCACTGTGGTCTTTTTGCTGATCTTCCCCTGGCCTGTTTGGTCAGTGTTATAAGAGGGTGAGCAGCCTTCAAACCATCAACATGACTCTGTCCTATCCAAAACAATGGGAGAAGTGTTAGTCTGGGAGATGTTTTTTCTCAATCAAAAACTTGGATTTGAATTTGAAATTCTGCTGAATTTTGACCTATTCTGAAAGGCTGGTTGTGTGACCTCTGATGTTTAAGTCTTCAATGCTTTATTCATGAGTGAATAGTCATTCCCTGGAAGATATTTACCTAAAATAAAAGCAAATGGAAATGGAAGCTTCCTCTGGTGCTTCAAAAGGATTCTTGCGTTTTTTTTTTTTTTTTCTAAATCTACAGAAATAGGAAGGGCACGTGTGTTTCTTGGTTTTCGTTTTTTTTTTTTTTCTGCAGGAGAGGGAATGCACAGTTTAAAAAATATGCATTGAGACTAGAAGAACCCTTACAGCTTTAACTATCTCTGCAAAAAGTTTCGATAGGTTGTTCATATTGGTGTTTTCCAGATAGTATGTCAGATAAAGTCACTGTTGAGTAGTGCAATGGAAAGAAATAATGTTTTATCTTTCTTTTCTTTCCTACCCATTTCCCGGGTGCTCTTTTGTGTCTGTATGTTATGACTTTCTCCATGTGTTTTCCAAATTACCAGCTGCTTTAGTTCTAATATGCACCTTTCTTTTAATTTTAGGTTCCGTCTTCATTCTACTGACTTAAACCACAGATCCCAAAGAAAGGAGGGGGAAGTGGAATAAAATACCCAAGTGCCGGAGGAAAATGTCAGACTAGTCAATGAAAGCTACTATTACTAAACTGTAGACTCCTCTGATTTTTATGTTTTGAGGAGAACTAAATGCTGTGCATTCAAAACCTACAAAACAGCTTTTGTAGACTTGCCTTACTGGACTTCAAGTGGGCTAAATAAAAATCCCATAACTGTTCCTTTTAAGAAGTGGAAATATGACTCCTTGCTCTCATCTCCCTTCTTCCCCTATTATGTTTCTTTGGGGTGGGACATCCTGAAAAAAGTGTTTTGTATCAGCCACGCTCACAATTGATGGTTATGGATGACATAGGAACCTTGGATTTATGTTTCTGGAGTGATACATGAAGGTTGAAAAGGTTGAAAACTGCTCATATGCTGCTATATCAGAACTTAAAGCAGCTACTACGGTTGTGCTTTCACTCACTTTCTAAGATTTGGATTCTGGGGGCATGTTCCCAGAAAGGTATGAGCAGAGAAGTCCTCATTTTGGATGGGAAGTGGAAATATTATAAGGATGCCCAGGAGAGGTTTAGTAATTCAAGCCAGAACTCGTTGGCTGTTAGTGGGTCTGGCCTTACTATTCAGTTTAATCTTGCTCATGTACTTGCTGGAATGTGCTCCGCAAACGGAGGGTAATGGATCTCTGCCGGGCATCGTGGGTGAGAGCCTGGGTAAAGAATACTACCAAGCCCTCCTCCAGGAACAGGAGGAGCATTACCAGACCCGAGCTACCAGTCTGAAACGGCAGATTGCCCAGCTAAAGCAAGAGCTGCAGGAAATGAGTGATAAGTTGAAAACCCTGCAGGAGAAGAAGAGCCCCAAGATCAATGGTATGAACTACCAGGGCACCAAAGAACAAGCATCTAATGATCTCCTAGAGTTTCTCCATTCCCAGATTGACAAGGCTGAGGTGAGCGTGGGGGCTAAGCTGCCTAGCGAATATGGCGTCATTCCCTTTGAAAGCTTCACGTCCATGAAAGTGTTCCAGCTAGAGATGGGGCTCACTCGGCATCCGGAGGAAAAGCCTGTTAGGAAGGATAAGCGAGACGAACTGGTGGAAGTCATCGAGGCTGGGCTGGAAGTTATCAATAATCCAGATGAAGAAGATGGACAAGATGAAGATGATGGAGTAGAAGAGAGGCAGCTGTATAATGAAAATGATTTTGTAGAAGGTATGGTGAATATTTATTAGATGATTTCCAAACAGTTAACCGAATGTCCCTACAGGTATTTAATGATGGTTCTAGTATTTTTGTGTACTAGAATAGGGCCTTGAATAGAAATTGCTTGGTAAGAATCTTTAATTTTGTTAAGGAATTTGTAGCTTAATATTATAGCCTCATGATGATGTTTTTTGAACAGGCATCAAGAAGGAAGTTTCATCACAGTAAGTGTACAGTTTAAAATACTGAAACATTTCCTGGTTGATTTTTATCTGAAAGTTTGTGTTTTTCCTTATGTTATTAAATAACTGAAAGGCTTTCAATAAAACTAGTGTGGAGAGAGAGAAATCGATTCTCTTGCTCTTGTTCCAGCATAAATAAGCTTTTTGGTTGTGAAGCTCCAGAGTACTTTTCAGGTATCCATGCCACTTTTGGTATTCAGGCCTTTTATTCTCATGGAGTTGGCACACTCATGATGAAGAGGGAATATTGGTAGATTAGCAGATTTGACCATGTCAGCTCAAGAATTTGATGTCCTGGATAGACCTCTCCGTGGGGAGACTAGTATAGTACTCCTGAAGACTATGAAACCTTTAATTAGGCCCCATATGAAGTATGTGCAACTAATGGACCAAACATGCATTACTCTGAAACATATAACTATTGATATTAGCATTTATTTGCATTCTCTTGTTCTCTCTCCATGTGTTTTGATGCTTATAAGTTTAATTGCAGAGTACTTCAATAGAAACAAGCACCCAAGCACCCTTCCAGCACTTCCACTGACCCACCCGCAAGGTGCAGTAGCTATAACTCCTGTAGAGCTTGGCTTTCATGGTAGAGGGTAGTGCTGAAGAAGATGAGTATGATCAAAACCTGCTCTGTACCTTTACAGTATTATGCAACTCATGCTCCAGCTTTTTTATGGCAGCAGGTTATAAAGAAAAGAACATTGCTGTAAAAAAGAATCTGGATCCCGCAGCACTGCTGCCTGTACTTCTAAGCAAAGACCTGCTGCAGGAAGGTACCATTGGCCTTGGGATAATCAGTTTTTTTCAGTCTGGGATGATGCAGTTAGTCTGTAGCTCAAAAAGTCTTTTTAGCAGCAGCCTGTTTTGCTGAGCTGCTTTGTTGGACGTTTAATGCAAAGTGCTTTGCATTATTTAGGAAGGTGGAGCAGGATGTAGAATCCACTTAAGTGTGTCAGTATAATACAACCAGTGTGGTATTAGTCTTTAGTAATGGTTTTACCTAAAATGATATTATTTTGGCTGAACACAGTCATTCCTGCAGTGTCCTATTGGTGCTTTTATTTTATATAAAGTGTGCAACTGCTTTTCTTCAACAGTTTTAGATACTGCTTGCATTTTAGTGGGTTTTCTTTATTGCTAATGAAATACTGGTTCTTTTTTCTTAAAATACTGCCTTTAATCATTGCCCAAGCTGATTTCAGGCCTTAGAACTGCTCTTCTCCACGCGGTTCTGCCTCTGTCTCTATTCACAGCAGTGTATTTGTAATTAGAAGCCAAGGTGCATGTTTTGGGAAGATTGAGCTAATGTCCTTTTTTTCTATAAGCAGCCTTCTTAAGCATGTGTGAGTATTCTGTGTTTTTTGTGTGTATGTAAAAATAGTACTGGCTATTTTAGATATTGAGCCAGGAGGGGAAAAAAAAAAAGCCACTTCTGGTGTATTAGCTGTTTTTTTATTGTTCCAAAATTTAGAACTAAGAAATGGAACCAACTTCAAATGGAAACTCTTATTTCCTAATGCTTCAGCCCTGAGAGACACCTGGTGTGCTGCCTGCTTTGTCCGCCTAGGGATGGAAGCCCAATTGGAAAGTTGCTGCCTTTCCATTTAGAGAAAACTGTTCCCTCAAGCTACCATAAACAGAGAGGTTCACATTTCATAGCAGACCCAGGGCCTTTACTGAAGTCACAACTATTCCTGCAAACATCTTACGAGCACTACTATACTGTTGACACATTAACATTGTTTATTTAGAGACAGCTTGTTTAAATTGACTTGAACTAAAACAATTTATGGCTTAAGTTCTGTATGCTCTTCAGTTGCTGATTGTATTGTCACAAGTGGTTTAGGACCTCCAAGATTAAGACGAGAGCTTAATGTAGTTTGAGAGAGGAGGTTGAGAAACTGCTGGAGAGTTGGATTTGTGCATTGGGGAAGGAAAAAAAAACACATGATATTGCATGAAATAATACGTAACCATCATGTATGCATAAAATACATGTACTGTTGTTTTGACTTGCAATTTCCAAAAGGACTGCATGTCTACTTGCAGAAATTTACTGGCAAAACTCTGCCACTGCCCATAAAGTTGTGCCACTGCCATAAGCTGAACTAGAAACAGGCATGTTTATTTTAGGAAAGTGTCCTAAATTCCCACCTCAGCAGTCCATTTTATTCACATAGAAGTTCTGGGAATTATTTCAGCTCTTTCCTAGACTTGTTAAATATTAGACAAAACCTTGAGCTCTGTAATCTCCTGTGGAATGTGCTTTCAGATACACTAGTAAATCCTTAGAGAATTTGGTGGCTGTTGAAGCTTTGAATCTTTTCTCTTTTTTATAGACCATTCCCTCCAAGAGTATTTCTTCATCATCACTGAACATGTCCTAAATTATTCTTCCCCTGTATTTACATCATCTTGGAAGACTCCAGTGAAAAGACTATCACTGTCTTGATTAGTAAAAGCATCAAAAACATATTTTATCTTTATTTTAACCTTTTTAGAAAAAAGCACTCCATGCATTGTAGGAAGAATATACATTATTTTACTACCCTTATACCACATAGACCAAAAAAATCCAAGTGTGTTCTGATGGGTGGTAACGTCCTTGATGCTACTCTTGTTTTCCACTTCGTATCTTTGATCCAGCTGCTCGTGCAGTTCTTCCACAGTCTTCTCAGCTGCTGTGGCCTCTTTACATGAGGATATTATGACTTTTAGCACTTATGTCCGGAACCTGTACCCACGCTAGGGTGCAGCCTTTTTTTTTTAAGCCTTACCCAAACGGATGTGGCATTTTTAGGGTTGCAAGATAGAGGAGTATTCTGCATCTGCCTTGGAGCTGTGGTGGGGCACAACTGCCACAGCCACACCTTGGCAAACAGCAGCTTAGAACAGTAGCACAGAATAGAGCTGATCTGCAAACATGCATTGCATCTACAAGGATATTTGTTGATGAAAACAAACCCATCAGATTTCTCTGATCTATAGGGCTGTTTACACTGCATTGCTATTTTTTTGAGGAAGTTAAGAACAGTTTTGGTTTTGATAAAATGCAGTTTATTGCCAGTATTTCTGAGATTAAACTAAGAAATACTAAGTGAGAAATAGAACTTCTGTGCAGATCAAATAAAGTTTCATGGATATAAGAGCCTTTTAACTCTTTCTTCTGTTTTCTACTTCTTTGCTTATGTGCATCTATTTTGAATGGTAGCCAGCATATGCTAGTTGGAAGGCAAGGTAGCAGTCATTTTATTACATCGTAAGTAATTCCTGAATGTTTAAAAACCTCCATCTATTAAGAATTAAAACACATGTTAACTTTTTCTGACTGTTCTCAATCTTGACTTCTCTTGTGAAAAGCAGTTTAATTTCATAAATTCATTCAAGTCTGCAGATTACCTGTGTAGGCTAGTTCATAACAGAGCAAGTAGCTTCAGGAGCACACACTTGCTACATAAGTAAAACAGTGGGGAGGTAGTACCATGGTGAGACACAAGTTTAGTATCTTATATTGCAGCGAGTGAATGTTCACAAGGTCTGCACAACTTGGACTTGTATGTTAAGTGTTCTATCAAGTTATACACATACAGCAAAAGATACAGCTGTATTTTTTTATTTTCTCTGGCATGTTGTAGACTGAGGTCTTGTAGCTTATCCTTTGATTAGAGATAAGCTATTAGCACTTGTGACAGGTTACCTTTCTAAAAGGTAAGCAAAATTTTAAAAGTATTTTCATCTTTAAAAAGCTATTGAATACTAGAGAAGAGAAAGTACTGTATTAAATGTATATATACTCAGGAGTAGAGGCTTGAGGTACTTACTGTTTATCACTTGAGAATATGGTATGAAAACACTTACTGTGGTACATAACTTCTCTAACCAAGAAGCTCTTGTCAGGATGCAACATTGGACTTCTCTACACAAGCGTGGGAGTGAAAAAGGACTGACAGATTTATCTTTTTTTCTGCTTGTAGCAGTCAAGACTTTGTGATTGCACTGAAACACTCTTCTCAATGCTTGTAATTAGCCTGCTAATCTGAAATACTCATGCTTGTCATCAGTACTAAAGTTTTACATAGTTATGTGTGGTTGCCAAGGAGTAAGTGTGGATGGATCTGTCTTAAATAATACTTGATTGCAAAGCTTTTTTAAATGGCTAGAGAGCATGTAGTTGAAAGACTTCTTTTGGTCCCCCGTACCTCGTAGTCAGGGCCCCTGCTTGTCTTGCTGCACCCTGTCTCCCACTGGCCCTCTCTAGCAGTAATCCCCCTTTCCTGTGGACTCCGTGTGTGCACGTGTGCACCTACGAGAAGGTGTGGTAGAGATGCCACGAAATAGTGAAGTGGGATAGGGAAGTTGCTGTTAGAGCCCGGGGCAGAAGGAAAGGAGAGCGGCTGTGGTTTGGGGATGGCTGGGGGAAGGAAGCTGACGCAGAAGGGTGTTGCAGGAGTGAGGTAGAGCGAGGGAAAGGGTGTTAGGCAACTGAATGGAGGAGGAAGGTGGTAGAGGGTGAGGCCAGGATGCCAAGGAAGGCAGCAAGGGCAAGACTGTATGTGTACCCTGCTTCTGGTATGGAGTGAGAAAGTAATGGGAGGAATCCTTTCCTCCCATTGTGTGGATGAGAACTGACAGGAGAAGCTCTAGGGTGTGGAGATATTTTTCTTCAGAGGAAAAGCAGAAGAGCTGCAAGACCACTCATTTTCTAGTTCTTGAGCTAGAAACAAATAAACTAAGCCCTCTTAACGTGAGGGCTGCTCCCTGCATGTGTTCTCAGGCCTTCATTTATTTTGCAATAGACTGAAATCACTAAAACCGAAGGTATCGGTATTGCACGCAGAAGAGAGACCTCTGTGTGGCCAGAACAGCTCGTATACCATGTCCTGCCTCCTGCTTTCGAGGTGGAAGCCTGGAGGAGAGGTTGGGCAGGCTTGTTTGTCGGACAGGTCAGGCTGCAACCTGTCAAGGGGCTGGAAATGCACAGGTGTTGGTCCCGTCTGGGGACATGTAGCTGTTCATCAGCCTTTACAGAGGTCTGTGGGGCCTGCTCAGCTGAGAATTGTTTGGTTCATTATCCATCTCGTGCTCTTTAGCTACCTAGACTCACCTTTTTCTGCTGTGGGGAGATGGGATGAGCAAAGGGCAATTGTGTTGGAGTGTCTTTCCTCTCATCACTGTTTACCCTCAGGCTAGCATGAGGCAACGCAGACGTGGGATCAGCAATCCTGCCGAGTCCATGGTTGAGTCTTGGTCTTTTCCTTTGTGGTTTACCACTGGAGAGGCTATTTGGTTTGGCTTGATTCCTGGATGGGTCTTAAATGAAAGCAGTCAGCAAATTTTAAATATTTGTCATGAAAGGCATAGATTCTGTTACCCAATAAGCCTTTTATATTAAAATATCTCCAAGTGGATAATGTTATCTATAGCAAACTAATTGTTTTATCAAATAAAAAGTGTCATAGAAAACTTGTTCTGTATATGCCCTTTGAAGGCCGTGTCTGGACTAAAATGTCACTGTCTTTGTTTATGGGATACAAAACACTGTAGCTTGTGGTTGGCAATAAAACAATAATTATAAAGTATTCCAGGATTTATCACACAGATTTTCTTTAGGTATCGTATTTCTGACTTCATGGGCTTTGCCAAGCAGAACTTGCCTTGTGTCCATTGCTGGCCTGACAATCTCTGCTAATGCTGAGGAGCAGCTCGGGGAAGGATGGCTCCTTATTAGACGGATTAACAAAAGGGC